TACTCCTCTCTTACATACAACGCAACTCCCCCACCTTTTCTGCCCTGCCTGTCCTTCCTGAACAGTTTTAGACCATCCCTGACAGATGAATGTCTAACCTGTTCTTAAACACCTCCAACAGTGAAGATTTCACCACCATCCCAGGGAACCTATTCCAGTGCTAAACTCTGCTTAGAGTTAAAAAGTTTCCCCCAGGATCTTAGATTTCATATTTTAATGTAATATCAAAGTCAAAACTCAATGACTCAGAATCACAATGTTGACATGAAACATTTGTGTTTGCTTTCCTGAAACGTTTTATTAAGGCAAAGTTACAATAGAACTTTAACATAGTACATCGCACGTTACTTATCCAGGATCAAATTAATGTTCAGAGAACCAGGCTAAAGATTCTGGTTTGTTCCCTGGGCCCTCTTCTGCTGACTGTGCTAGAAAGTGCTAAATACCTGTCCTCTTTTGGGTGCTTCTCTTGTGTACATACTTGGCATTAAAAGTTTTTAACATTATCACAGAATAATAGAATTGGAGGCTTAGAAGGGACCACAAGGGGCATCCAGTCTAACCCCCTGCCAAGATGCAGGATTGTAGAAATGACATGCTTTCATTATAGAAACGGAACATTTCAACATGGACTGGGAGCCTTATTTTCTGAGCATAAACTGCCTCACCCTTTGTCAGTCTGTCCTCTATCACAGCTTCTGCTCTAGGATCAGTCAGTGCTTTTTCCAACCCTTGTCGCTAGTATCTCTTACCCCCAAGAGTTCAAAATTGGCAAGTCCGGGCCCACTCAAAATTGTGAGATTGGCTTAAAAAAAATCACAAGATGTGAAAAACAAAACTAAACCACTAGGGTTTGTTTGTTCACTGTTTTTAGAGCCTCTAAGGGTGGGTTTCCCCAAAGCCTAGGTCTAGAAAGTGATTTCTGCCAACAAAAGCTCAGATTCTCAGAGTCCCATGACTCCAGGAGCTCAAGACTTTAAGAAACAAACAAACCCACCCTCATGAGACGTGCCATAAAATCATGTGAGATTTGGGTCACTGAGTCTCACCACTGCCAAGCCTCACCGTTTTACGCTGAATCTCGTGGGGATGTAAATGGCTACATGTAAATGCATCTATCTCGGACCAAAGACTGTCCGCCAGACTTGGAGGATGGGGGACCCTCTCCATAGAAGTAGTGATGCTCAGAAAGATTTTGGTGGTGGATAATCAGCTGAACATGAACTCCTGGGGCTTGTCTACGCCACAGGCGCTGTAGCTATGTTCCTGTAGCACCGTATGACAAAGTTTGAACTCCATGAGACGTCAGACTTGGTGACTTCAGAGCAGTTATAGCCTCTTATGCCACCCGAACTAATGCAAGAGACCAGAGCAAAGACCTGTGCACTATTGGTGGCATTTTAAAACCCGTCTCATAATTTTTAATCCAATCTCATGATTTTTAAACCCATCTCACAGTCGTCGGGCTGATCTCACGATTTTTACAGCAGTCTCGTGGCTTTCAAACTAATCCCATGATTCTAAACCAAAACTCCTGATTTTTAAACTCAACATCTCGATTTTTGAAGCAATCCTGTGGACTTCAGGCTGATTCATGACTTTTAAGCCAATCTCGTGATTTTTTTAAAGCAATCTCATGAATTTAACGCTGATCTCATGATTTTAAAGCAATCTCACAATCTTTAGGCTGATTCATGATTTTTAAACCAGTCCCGCATTTTTAACCTAGTCTCAGGATTTTGTCAGGCCTGGCTCATAACCACTGGCTGCTTTGGGCTGGCCCCACCGCAGTGCCCCCATCCTAGTCCCATGCAGATCAGCACCCCCCGGGTGCCGCGGCGAGATGAGGAGAGGCGTGGCTGGGGCGTGTGTTTGGTGGGTTATTGTGGCAGGCGTGACACGCTGTGAGCTCTCAGTCTGATCCGATGCACTTCGTCCCTATGGTGTTCCTCACCCACTGGGCAGCTTTGCAGACATTGGCGTAGACGCCGGGCCGTCCCGGCAGGGCACAAACGGACATCCCCCAGGAGACCACGCCCTGCAGCCGCCCGTTGCAGACCAGTGGGCCTCCTGAATCCCCCTGCGGAGACAACGTGGAGCCATCAGTAAAACACAGCCATGCCCCCAGGGCCCACACGCACACACACAGAGCAGGGCCCACCCCCTCCAGCAGGGGGTGGCAGGGACAAACCCCCACACACCAGCACTCATACCCTCCAGCAGGGGGTGGCAGGGACACACACGGACACACCAGCACTCATACCCTCCAGCAGGGGGTGGCAGGGACACACACGGACACAGGAAGTGTTTAAAGAGCAGAAATGGTTTCAGGTGGTCTGAGCTTCCTACACCTGCGCTGGGGATCAGACAGGGCCAGGAGCTGGATGAAGCCCAGCCCTTAGGGCTTGGTGCGGCCGGATGGCAGATCGGCTGCTCTTCCACGGGGCATGAAGGCTGGCTGTGGCCAGGGGCTGAGTGACGACAGCCCCTCAGTAGCAGGGTGAGAAGCGTTTGCAGGTCATAGGAGATAAAGAGTATTGAGCTGTGTGAGTTCCTACACCCAGCACCTACCCCGCTCTCCGGGATGCCCCTTACCTGGCATGAGTCTATGCCACCCTGCTCCACGCCAGCACAGAACATGTTCTCCGTGATTATGCTCCCATAAGTGCCCTGGCACCTGGCCTGGCTGACGCTATAGACATCTGCACACCGCATGGTGTTTGGGAACAGCCCTGGGCAATGACAGAAAAACAGGAGTTCATGAGCGGGGAACAAGGTGCAAGAGAAGAAAACTTGGTGTAAGACCCTCAACTGGTGTAAACTGGCACAGATCCACTGGCGCCAATGGAGCTACGGCCGATTGATCCCCCCTGGGATCTGGCCCCATTGGCTCCAATGGAGCTACGGCCGATT